AGCATCATGATTATCTGGGTCGTGAAGATCTTTTTTGATCTTTGAGTATACACTAAACTGTTTATTTCAGATGTAAATACTACTGAATGCAAATGTTACCACAATTTTTAAAGTATTTCAAATTTAAATGGTGCAAAGATGTTATTTAAACTTCTCACCTGTTCAAGCCACAACTATCAAATAGCAAACCTTTGTAACCACATTTGAAGACAGAAGCATCACTGGCACTGACAAGACTGTATAATTAGAAAAGCTCAAGAGTTAGTTTTCATAATTAGATCTTTCTAACTTGTACAGTGATTTTTTTTCTATTAACCAATAAGGAACATTAGTTAAATAAAAGGAGTCACCAAAAATAGACTTTTCAACAGAAATTACTTTTTAGTTTAATTCAGATTCTAATGTGTACTTAAACATAACTCTGAGAAAGAAGTTATCTGAAAAATTGCAATATGCCTTCCACCTCCATTTTAAGCAACCCAGAGCATGCACACTGCAACACAAGGTGGAGTGCAAAGGTTTGGTTCAGCAACACCCTGCAGTTAATTCCAAGAAAATGAGTCAAAAAACTAGAAAGACACCAGAACACAGGTGTATGTGGCAAAATAAAACTGCTGCTCTCCCTTAAGGATTATTTCATTGATTTATATGTCTAAAAAAGACAGGAGGACAGCCCTCCAAAAGCAAAGCTTACCAAAAGTTACTGAAATAATATGTAACACTAACTCCCAGCACCTACAAAAGTACCACTCATACAAGTTCTCAACAATGATCTCTCTGACGGACATTCAGTGATACCAGTATGAGGAAGAAGACACCACCAAAACATGTGTTGCCAGGATGAAGTCCAGCATATTACCTGCCTCCAAGAAGGACTACTAAGACCTGAGAGCAAAGAGCATGACGAAGAAGTTTCCATCAATACAAAACCAAGAAACACAAACAAGGTAAACAAACCAGCAGTCAAGGGCAGAGCATAAGAAAAATGTGTAACTTTTTAAAAAAGTTTTTGAAATATTTTGTTTAAAACCATGGGACATACATCTTAGAAGAAAAAGCAAACAATATACGTCTTAATAGACCGTATAAAAAAAAGATTAACTATGTAATCTGGCTGAGAGTTTACTCCTTTCTCTATAAAAACGTACATACAGAAAATCACCATTAAGATATTTCAAGTTAGGGTTAATATCAACTAGAAATTACAGGAATTAAACAAACACATTCAAGTTCTTTGCCTTCCAAATTACCAAGGGTCAAATTTTAACCACTCTGTATTTCCCTGTTCACAAAAGTGATCTTATTCACGGCAAAAATTTTAAAGTATAAAACAGATAATAATCCCACCATCTAGAGGTGACTGCTATCACCATTTGTCTTGATCCTCCGAGATACATGTTGAGACACACACACATTTAGACATACATAGCTATGGAGGACCTAGAGGAGGAACTCCACTAGCCTGCTCTTTTCATGTCACACATCACAAGTCTCTTTTCATGCCCAAAGGGCATCCTTTAGGAACATGTAGTCCCCTGACCATCATTCATTTAACCCTGCAGAAAAATCTACCCTGGGTCCACCTGTTTTCAAGGCTGCAGACAAACAGCTGGTACATGTATCCTTGAGCACATCTTAGGTTAACCCTTGGATAACTTCATCAACCTGGAACTACTGAGCCAAAGGACTTTCAGGCTTTTGATACCGTCACAAACATTGAAGGGTTTGCAATTTTACTCTTCTTGCAGGCCAATAAGGTAAGCCTGCCACTGTTTCATGGAGGCTGTGAGAAGGCACGGCACTCCTAGTCACAGACTAGGACAATTTACTACTCTTAACGACAGCAATGTCATCTGGGGGCCAGCTCCCTGAGCCCCAGTTCTCAGCGGGCTCTCAGACGAAGAGGGCCAGGTGACCCTGCACGAAGGGAGCCATGTTATGGGGGGACCTGAGTTCAGGGGACTGTTATCATGAGCAGAAAGCGGGCCTGCCCCTTGCTCCAGAGAAAGACACATCTTTCCTTGAAAAGACAGGAACAAAGGGCAGTCAGTGCCCTGCTCCCCAAACATGCACAGACATGAGAGAACTGTGGAAGACTGTTTCCCATCTTCAAGGTAGTCCTCCAGTAGAATAAATACCTGACCAGGATTTTTATTTTTGCCAATATTAAGATAGGTTAGAATTCACAACTGCCTTAACTTTATTAAATATATTTTATACACTTAGTAATCATCTGTCTTATTTTTGTATTATCTTCTCACATTTTTTTGCCCTTCTTTTTACAGGAGTGCTCATCTGTATATACAGAACACACCAAATACATTAACTTTACTAAATACATTACTCTGAACTTGTTTATACTGTTTTGGGGTATTTGTGTATGATAAAATCATTCTTTTCCTTTATGGCCTAAAAAGGCATAATACCAAGAACAGTAGAGTAAAACCAAAACAACTTGGTGTGCATTTTTTCCCCGTTCTCTATGATGTCCTTAATCATGAAACTCCCAACGTTGGCTGAACATGCTGTCACCTAATAAAACACTATATTCGCCAGCCTCCTTTGCTCTGAGGTACAGCCATGTGACTAATGAGTAATTAATGAGATGTTTATGAAGTGCTATTTGAGAACTCTGGGATGTCTCCTCAAACAGTGGGCCTGTTCAACCTCACTGCAATCCACTTCCTGGATGTGGACCACGGCAAGCACAGAGCCCTGGAACTGCATGGAAGTCTGGAAGAAGCCTGGGCACCAGGCTGCCTGGTGAGGCCAACACCAGATCTGAAATGCTTTGGGGAATTTTTTGACGTTAGTGAGAAATAAACTTGTACTATTCGGTGAGTTTTCTGTTTCGCAGGTGAGCCTAAAGCTGGCACACTATTATTAAAACATTTTCTTTGAATACATGTAAAATCTGGTATTAACTAATCTCAGATCAATACTGGCAGAAGGTTCAAGGAACGGGTCTAACTTCTGCCCCAATGATTAAGCATTCCTAAGTATTAATATGTCTGAGATATTATCATATTAATTCATACATGTCACAAGTTCATATACTTTATGGGCTGGGACTGATCATTAATGTTCCTCCAAAGACACCTATCTCTCTCCCTGAATCTCTCTGTTCAGAAGACATGAAAATGGAAGGAACGATTACCATTTTTAAATAATAACCCACTCCTGCTTCAATATTTCAATGAATACAGCTCAAGAACCAAAGCTTGAAATATCTAAATCTACAAGTCATACCCTCTGTCAGTTCCAGAAGGCATTCAAGCTAAAGTGTAACACCTATTAGAAGTCTTATTTAACTGCTTTACAATAAAATAGTTTATATTTCCAGAGATCATCTAAAGATTAAAACCTGCAAAACCTTTTCTCACTCTAAAACATACTACAAACACAATATGTTACTGTGTAGTAAGAGTAAGGAGAAGTACTACCTAGAATACTGAAAGAGTAAGTTACAGGGGAAAAAAATCAATGGACTTAATTTTTCCACGACAGAGTCTTACAAATTAATGAAGAGGAAGTGAACTAACTGATCGGCACTGGGTCCCTCAGTTTCTCTCTCCAGGACTCACCCTCAGAACGAGCCCCACAGCCACCTCCGTCAGGCCGCTACCCACACACAGTCCTTTAACAAGCTTTCGGCTCTCTCTCAGACCTAATCGAGGCTCATGATGGCCTTGCACTGGGCAATGAGCACACAGGATGCGGTGCTAAGCATGACCCACATCAGTCAGTCTCCCTGAACCTCGGGGCGGGGGCTCATTACTCAGAACAGAGCACTTATCAATAGGAGAACCACTTCTTAACACTTTCTTTAGCTTTGGTTCCTTTGGCTAAATAAATCTGTCTACAATTGAAGAATCTGGGCAAAGCGATCTACTATTCTTCTATCTTTTCTCTAAGTTTCAAATTATTTCAAAGAGCAAAACAGAGAGAAAGCACAAAAAGAAAAATTAAATTTAGCTTATTGGAGAAGAGCAAGGATGTATTCCAGAATGTGTCTGTACATGTCCACACACTCTGTCATGGGAAAACAAAGGGTAATGCTTTGTATACTGAGTTCATAAAACACTGCTGTAAGACCTAATGTAAATGACCTAAGCCAGTGAAATATCACTTTTTCATGACCTCTTGGGGGAAAAGGGGAAAGTATTAAGGAAAATAACTGAGAAAAAAAACATTAAGAAGAAAAAAAAAATCTTAAACCAACACGTTCTAAGACTACAGAATGACTTCATGGCTTACACACTTGACCCATGGGTCATGTTCTAAGGTTGGAAAAGAGAACTCACCGGCCTCCATCTCACAACACACCCCAATCTGTCCCAACAACACAGAGTTCTCCAGATGTGCTTCACAAAAGGTTACCTCTTCCATAAAGTCTCAACACCCCAACCCACCCTCAAGACACACGCCCAACCAGACAGGCCCCAGTGCGGGCTCTCAGAGCAGGCCCTGAGCCTCTCTGCCAGCAGGCCTGCTACCCTGCCCTCATTGGAGTGTGCCCTCGTCTTCTCTCCCCCATTTCAGACTGCAAGTTCTGTGAGCACAAGAACCAAGCCTCTCAATCATCCGCTTCTTTGATACCTAACACAGCACCTCAATCCAGGGAACTCTGCAGTATCTTCTGAATAATGGTCAAATTTAACTGATGCTAATTAACTTAAAATAATCCCAGTACTTCTTTCAAAGCACCAACATATACTGCGCATTTCAAAAGATTCCTACCCACACCCCATTAAAAAGGTAAGACATTCCAACACTCAAAGGGCAGACATCTATCCGGAGAACACAGCTCACCAGAAGTCACTGTCCAAAGATTCTTGCAAGCTCAGGGATTTTGGTTTCTGCTTTTTTAACTACACTCATACTTCAAAGAGGAGATGTATTAACTTTTCACCAACATTAAAAAGATGCTCATTATAAATACGGAAGGAAAAAAAAAAAACTAGCAAACTTTTGGACTCTTTAAAAAGATGAACAAATACCTCTTCGGTTTCAGGATCAACCTGGGAATCAGTAATCTCATCTAATTCCTCTTCAGCAACACAGTCTTCCTGCTCTTTCATCCCTTGTTGCCCACAAGCCTGCAAGTATTCTTCATCCTAACAGCCATTAAACAGAAAATAAGTTTTTCTCATATTGCTGTGGGGCTTGTAAGCACTTTTCATCTTCACGACTCATGCTTAGCTATGTTAGCAAACTGTACTATGCCAATGACCATCTGAGCAGAAAAGCACTCAGCACAAAACCAGAATGGGACCTCCCCTGAGCGTCAATGAGACCAAAGCACCGTATGCCAGCCTGGTCGGTACGGGGGGTGGCATGGACTCTGCCTCAACCTCCAGGGACCCCGACACACAGTTCTTCTCAAAATCAACACCAAGGAGACGTAATCTTAAAAAAGAAAATGTGAGTGTGCTTGCACAGAGCAGCTCAGCAGCAGCACTGGGGCTGGAATCATGCCCAACTTGAACTATTTTTACAGCAATAGAAGACAACAAAAGTATGGGCAATTCAATTCAACACAGGCGCTGTATTAAAATTGCACGTTAGAACTAGTTTCTCCATCAGCCACTCCTTTGAATTAGAAGGACGATCTCAGGTTTGCATGGAATGTAAGGAGCATGGCGGCAGGCAGGCAGCTCTTAAAAACACAGGGGAGGAAGCCGGCAAACTGCAAGGAAAGAAGGGCTCCAACAGGTATTACTACGTGTAACGGCTCCCCTCCAGGGGAGCTGAACTTACCCGCGTCCCTGGCTACCAGCTACAGTGAACCATCGACAGTTACAAGGCGGGGGAAGAGCAGACGAGCCGCGGGACCTGCACAGCCCACTGCTCGGGGCCCAGCAGTCTCGCCGCAGAGAACTGCAGCAGCACACAAGGTGGGGACCGCCTGAGGCCCCCAGCTGTCTCTCAAGGCTGCCCCTACATACTGCATTTTACTTCCCCAAGGAAACTGCTACCGTTCCACCTCAAAGGGCGACCATCACTACCCACGACCCACTGAGAGCAGGACTGTTCAGATTTCAAAAAGGCCGTAAGAAGCAAGCAAGCGAACAGACAAGGGAGCACAGTCCACACCACGGAATTCTCACGGGGAAACAAAAATCCGCTACCTGTTACACAAATTCCCAATCTAAAGCTGTTTTTACAGAACACTGCTTTACAAAATCTCAATCTATGCTAACTTTAAAGGCACTAAATCTAGTTATGCTCAGCAGCACCTGACAATGTTCTAATATCCTGTTGAATAATAATTTACATCTCTTCCTAATACAAGAACACAAGTTTTTATATCAAATCTCAATTCACCTTCTCAAGTTCAGGACAGCAAAAGTCAAAAAAAAAAACAAAACTGCTTTTGAGTATGACAGGAAAGAACACTACAGTTTACTATCAACTTTTCAGGTAAGTGTCCCTTCTAGTTGTAACATTCTGCAATATTATAATTCTACTCCCAGTTACGGAATCCCTCCATCTGGCCTGCGTGAGCTCAAACAGAACACACTCGGGATCAGCAGAGAGCTCAATTCCAGCTCCAGTGTATGAGCCAGCACAGCCTAACCAGGACACGAACCACAGTTAAATACACCGTTTAAAAACTAAAATACCTCTGGGACATTCAGGGACGCAACCAACTCGTGTCCATTAGTCTAATGATGAATAACTAACCAACCCGTGCCCCAATGACGGCCTAAGAACTCAGGAAGAGGCCCTCACCACAGAGCTAGGGAAGCATTTCACAGCTGGAGTGTGCTCTTCCCTCCCCAAGCAAAGAGGAGGCAGTGCCTGAGTCTACTGTGACAACTATCAAGAAGAAACCGGAAATTTTAAACCGGGAAGAAAAGAAAGAGCATGGACATAAACCTGGATATACTGAGGGGAGCTGACACTGCTCCAGAAAGATACTGACCTTCACCTCACCTTTAAACTTTACAACTCTCTATAAAAATATTTAGAGACATTCAGAATTCTTAAGTAAACTTCCAGATTTTTTAATTCTGAAAAAATTAATTTTAATGTAGATAAGTACTGTGACTATTGAATTTGCATTTTTTTTCAATACCTGAATCTTAGGCACAAGATGTCAGATGGTTTAAGGTGAATTTTATACAATGAGGAGCCTAAATGTAACTCCAAGTTTGGAAAACAAGAGAGAGAAATTCCTCACTTACTAGAAACCCTCTTTACAACAAAGTCTCCGAGAACACCAGTGAGAGGGGCCTCTTCCGTGACCATGTGTAGGCACTACCAAGCACTGCCCACACAGTGACCGCTCCACTAAATCCTAAGCCCTCAGAAGGCAGGGGCCATGCTTCATGTTTCAGCAGTTCTTGTGTCCCCACTGCTTCCACACTGGTAAAGATCTGTTGAAATGCTGAACTTACAAGGGATACGACTGACCAATCACCTCATCTTAGTGATGAGTAGTAGAAATAACACAACACTAACTAGCAGATACTTGGGCACAGTTTTAAAAGATTTTGGCCTAATTTTTAAGGACCATTTTAAACCACAGTGTCTCACTTTAACATGGTACATGAACACACTATAAACCAGAGATCACCAGTCCACACTACTGTAGCATTTATTACCAAAACAAACCATTACAGAGTTATCAAAAGAACAAGGACTCACCATTCCTTTTATACGACTCTGTTTACCAAAACTACACACATCTTTTCGTGATTACGTCTACTAAAGAGAAAGCACTCAAAAAGAATCAAACGTTAAAAATAACTACTGAGATATGGAAACACAACCATGTCTGGAACTAAATATTCTAAGGCGCCATATAAACAATCTCTTTCAAAACTACACACACACACATTTTTTTCTGAAATAAAAAGTCATTTACTCTGAATGAAAACATAAAGGCAGAATTCTTGCCCTAAACCTGCTGACCTCCACCCCATCCCAGCAGCCCCCAACACGGCACCACAGGAGCCCAGCATACTGAAAACCCTAAGATTCTACTGCATCTATGGAAATCTCGCCCTTCCAACAGAAAGTTCACTAAGTGTTCATTTCATAAACAAATCTCTCCCAATAAGGAATCATTAAGACAGATGATCTTTCACTAATACCTTTTTCTTTTTGACTATTCAACCTTAAAAAAAAAAAAAACCCTACCTACCAAAACCACCTTTCTGAAATAAAAATCAGCACAATCTCTGCTTCCTGATTACAGATAACAAATTGTGTGTGACATTTCCTAAACTAACCTCCAATCTCTTTATTCATGTTTAGACAGTTCTCAGTTACAAAAAAGGATGAATGAGCAGGACATCAATCACTCTGGAATATTAGCACCTTAAAGATGTCTTTAGCAGGTCAATAATCTTTTCACCTTAGAAGGACTTTATCAGATCTTGTCTAAAGCCTGGATAAAAGCTCTGCATTAAGTACTTCTAACAATTGACAGTGTATCTCCACCACACAAAGCTGTTTTCTTCCTTAGGGTGCAATCCTCAAGGTCACAATTCTGTGCAGCCTTCCACAATGACAAAGGAGCATTCGCTCCAGCCAAACAAGCTGTCAACACAAACTTTGTCATAGCTCAGATAAAGAAACTGGCAGACAGCGATAATAAGGTCTAATTTCCCTCCCTCCCAGGGGAGGGAAATAGATTTCAAATCAGTCCAGAAACCCGTGCCCAGGCAGCCACGTTATCTTCGGCCACACAAAGGAGAGCGACTCACTGTGAACTCGTCTAAGGGCTCATTGATCTCGATGTCCAGGACCTCGTCGTTGAACAGCGGCTCCTCCTCGGGCCCCTCCACGTACTCAATGTGGTCCTCCGGGAGCTCGGCGTCGGGGCCCTCGTACGGCCCCTCTTCTGGGTACTCGTGAGCATACAGCTCAGACCCACCCGACTTGTGATAGACGAGCTCATCCTCGCCTTGCTCATACTCAGACTCCTGCTCTGCAGACTGGTCATTAGTGTCAGACATCTCAAACGACGTGACCATGTCTGACGTGGCCGTCAGACTGATCGTGACATCCTGAGCACTACAGAGGACAGAAACACAAAGAAAGGCAGGCAGCTGGGGTGGAGCGCAAAACTAAACCATCACGAGAGTTAATGGCTATCAGAGGCCAGCGAGAAGCCGACTCAGCGACTGGGGAATGCACACAGACCACAAGAGTGGCCACACGTTGAGACGCATGTGCCACACTCAGCCAGCGCCAGGCTCCTGCCGCACGGAGCGCCCGCACCATCATCACTCCCGCGACCTGAGCAGGAGAATCAGGCCAACCGTGAGAAACAGGTCTACCCAGCCAAAGTCCAGGACTGAGAACAGACCACGTTTCACTCTACCTTTCAGAATGAAAAGGGTGACGTCCATTTTCTAAGACACCCGAGTAACACTAGGAGTACTGCTCTCCAAACTTGAAAGCACAGATTGAATTTTTTTAATTGGGAGGATAAGTGCTTTACAACGTTGTGCCAGTATCTGCCATACAACATGAATCAGCCATAAGTCTATATACATCCTCCCCACACTGATGGAATTTTAAGAGTTTTCTTACATCTATGATGCCAACCATAAACTCGTATTTTAAAAAATCAAAACATTAAAAGTCAGCATGTAAATACATTTCAATGTTTATCTAAATCAAGTTTATACTAACCTCAAATTTTTTAAAAATAGTTAATTTCTGAGTGAAATAAACAAAGGCAATTTTAAAACTGAAAAAAAGAATATATTCCACCTGTTAAATCACAACAGACAAATGTCAAACAATTAAGATGCATAACAACAACATTTAAAGGGCAAGGTTTTAGGGCTAAATCTAAGTTTGCACCCATTAAGTATACAATCCTAACAAAAAAACTGAACATTCCACACACACGTGAAGATACTACATGGCTAAAAACTCCTGAAAAGTATACTTCAAGGGCAATGTAATTCAAAAGATCAAAGTCTAATAATGATACCAGAGAATGAAATTGGGAAACAAATAACTGGTAGAATAAATAATTTAAAACTTACTGTTACCCATAAAAATTACTTTATGTTAAAAAATATCTATTACACGTCTATAGCTCAATAACAAATAGCATCTATTTGTTAATTACACTTATAAACAAGTGTCTTTATTTTCACAGTAAATGTTTCCTCATAAAATTGAAAAGAATTATTTCACTTAACAAGAGTAAACACCTTTAATATAGTAATTAGTTTATTAATATAATTATATTAGAATATAATCATATGGTAAAGATACACTACATTATCTTTTATATCCCGCTATAATTATAAATCAGTTACTAGAAATTTAAACAAAGAACATTTTTAATGAGATAATATTCGGTACCAGAAATTTTCTTCGTCTTCATTATCACTCTGTAGGAGATCATCATTTAGCTCTTCATCTGACAAATCCGATTGATTCTAATTAAAGCAAGAAATCTAATTAATGCATGTCACTTCCATAAGAAAACTTGTTACAAAAGTGCAAAATTACGTTGACTGGATTATTTCTAACCTTGTTATTAAAACATTTGCCATTCACAAAGTTTTCTCAGTTTGATATAACCAGTGACAGTCAACGTTCTACACATGGCATACTAGCTAACTCCCCCAGACTAATTTTTAGATGCTCAGTCAAGTAAGTATAGCAGAAGCAAGCGTAACGATCATATTATAACTCTAACAAAGGAGACAAAAAAGGACAAGTCCTTTGGTAGTATGATATAAACAATTTTTTCTTATACCAAAAAAATTGTACCCTTAAGATTTGATTAAATTTAACATAAACAAAGGAAAAAATTAGTGGAATTTTAGAAAAAAGCAGATTTTAGATAACTAGACTGCCCAACTGAAATGGTAAGAGATTAAAATAAAACTCTGGTTTGTCCAGTAGACGGATACACAAAAATAAGCACTACTCGGATTCTCTCTCCTGTTCCTGACAGGTTTGTCTATTCATGTTATGAGTTAAGCAGCAGCAGTCTAGCGAGTGTGCCAACTGGTCAAATTTCTAAAGTTACAGGTTTTGTTAAGCTAAATACATACCAGTATCTTAGATTTAAGATGGAGAACCACACACTTTCCTACCTTATTAAAATTATTTCTATGGTATATATAAATTACTACTCTTCCACAACATGCACACAAGGGGCGGGGGGGGGGGGGAGACTTGATTTTGTACCTAACGATGAAAGAAATAAACCAGCAATCTTCTCCTGCCATTTTATAGATTATAAACCTAGGCTTCTCAAACATATCTCTATTTACTCTTCATTAAGGTAGTTTTGATATAAGCCAAAAAAAAATCCATCTTATTTGTAGTTTTTATTAGTTGCCCTGGAATCTGTCATCCATTAACAGGGATGAGCCAGGCCTGCTATGCATGTGTGCATGCTAAGTCGCTTCAGTCATGTCCAACTCTGCAACCCCACAGACTGTAGCCTGTCAGGCACCTCTGTCCATGGGAGTGTCCAGGCAAGAATACTGAAATGGGTTGCCATGCCCTCCGCCAGGGGATCTTCCCGACCCAAGAACTGAACTCAAGTCTCTTATGTCCCCTGCATTGGCAGGTGGGTTCTTTACCACTAGCACCACCTGGGAAGCCCGGGCCTGCTTTGGGAGAACTCAAGTTTAGCTGCCCAGGACCACTAAATAAAAGCACAACAAATCTTTAAAAAATAACAATTCAATAAAGCCAAATTTCATTCAATAACAGGCTGTTTCCTTCAGGTTTTTAGTTAAACTTCTAAATACTGGTCGAAAATAAATTACACACCAAACATGTATGTTTGGTATGTTGCATGTATGTTGCAGTAGGCCCTGATGGTAATCAAATCTCACTTTTTTGAGTTATGAGGATTCAACTTTCTACTTACTCATCTGAACTTGATGAGTAATAGACACAGGAGGCACAAAATAATGATCAAAATGACCAAAACACCCATGTTACTTGAAAAGCGGGAATGGAGGGCCACACTAAGCCCTGAGGCCACAACTACTCTGTTGGGATGACCTGGAGTGACGCCTCCTCAGGCAAGAGGGGAACAGCGAGGGTGGACCCTGCTCAGGGTGGTGGGCAGGAAAGCAGGGCGGGAAGAGTGAGAAACTAGCCACCAACGCTTGTGATCATGAGGGCCAGGTGGGCTCCCTGACAGAAACACAGGGCAAACTACATCAGGCTTGCCCAAGAGCAGAAATCCAACCGCGGGTAAAATTGTTTGACTACATTTAAACACTTTAACCTCTAACTGGTATCCCTCACGAAAGCATTTTAAATACTTACAAAGGAAAACACGTGTTTACCTTAGGGAAGTGAACTCCCAAATACAGGGAGTGCACGGCAAAGCGGTGCAAACTAAGCCAGAGGCAGACAACAGTCCCCACTTCCTCTGTGACCACCCCACGCCGAGGACTGGCCCCGGGCCTGCCCTGCCCCAATCACACCACACACAGGCATCCCAAGGCTGCCAGAGCTCACAAACGGGTGGGCTGAGGGGCACGCTCACGGCTTCTTCCCTTGCAGTCATTCTGACCACGCAGGCTTAGAGGTAACAGAACGAATTCTTCTTTAGAGTAACAGGGGATGAGAGAGGAAAGGCTGGGGGAAGCCAGAGCCAGGACGGTGCAGGCCTCGAGGGCAGGACACGAAAGGAGAGCAGCTACAGCCACCAGTGTACTAGAGAAGATGCGGATGCAGTGGAGTGAGAGGCAGGAAAGGGGCGGGGCTGGCACTCCCGCCAGGACTGGACCTTCATCAAGCGTATTATAAATGAGATGAAAGGGAAAATCTCATCAGATCTGACAATCAGACAACTGATCTGACCCGATCACCTAAGAGAACAACGAGCTTGAGTGTAGCTGCTGACAGTAAGGAGCCATCACAGTCTGTGAAGACTTCAAAACTACTAAGCATACAACGAGCTTGATATTTAGTGAGACCAACAAGTGTCTTTAAATTGTTAATAAGTAAAAAAAAAAAATTAGTATTTCACTTCAATATTTGGCTTTTCATTTCTATTTTTAATGTATGTTTCATAATGTTCAAAATATATTGGTAGAGTTACGTTATACATACAAATACATGATACATAAATATACACATTGGAGATAACAGCTTCCAAGTTTCTACTTGATCAAAGAAGTTCATATTTCAGGATAATTTTATCCTTATATCTGAATCCCAAAAAGCAAATTTCAGATTCAGCATTCAAAATATTAACCACCAAATGTTAAGTTCCTTCAAGGCAAGTGGTAGTTTTATTACAACTTTCAAACACTCAATACCTGCTAAAATGCCTTGACATGCCAGAAACTAAAACATCTGCTTCAAAGAATTTACTGCCTGAATTACAAGTTATCAGAGAATTTACGGATAGTCAACTCTTTGCATATAAAAAGTAATCATTCCACAAAATTTTAATCTATACCCAACTTTCCAGTAACACATCCCATGCATAAGACGTATTCCTTATTTTAAATGCAATTGAATATCACTTAATTTCAGAAAGACCTGTATTGTTACCTTTTTGCCAGAGAGCAAATCCTCTCCAAGTAAGTCATCATCAAGTTCACTGTGGGGAAAAAAAAAAAAAGACATGACAATGTTTTATTCCTACTAAACGCTGGAAAGTTTGCAGACCACTGGGGACATTTACCCAGGACTTTACAGTTTGGGTGCTTTCACATTAATTTTGCTATCTTTTCCTTTATCTTTATTAATAATGAAAACACATTTTCAAATACACAGGGAACATCTGATCCCTTAAGTATGGGAGTTTTTGGTGTAACTAGTGGCTCTCACTAGACTTCTTAGTTTTTCACCTCAATACAAGATCTTTACTTCTTTGGACTTGTTCATTAATGAGCAAAAGAAGAAACCATATGTAATATCTATGCTTTCTCTTATCTTTCAAAACATATGATGAAACAGGAAAAGACAGATGCCCCAATATCATTAACTAGGAAAATTAAAACCAAAACCACTGGGAGACCATTTAACACTCATCAATTGTAAAAACTTAAAAAATGAAAAATCAATGCTTATGAGAACATTCAAGTATATCATAAAAACTAAAGGAATTATTTTCGTATGACAATGAAGTCATGTCAGCTGTCTGCAATTTCTGGTCAGCATGCTTATGTTTTGAAATGATCAAAAGCAGGTTTTCTCATAATTAAAACAGAAATCCTTAGCAGATGAGAAACCCAGAGACATTTCCCACTGCTTCCTTTTTTTTTAAATTTTTGAACTGATGGAAGATAGCTACCACTAAATTATGTCCTTTTTTCCTTACTTTTGTATTTATTCTTATTAAGTTATGTCTTTTTAAAGCAAATGTCTAAGGACTAACATCTAGAAGAAGCAAACACAATTAGATTATGATTCTAGGTACAAATGCCAATGGAGACTCAACTGTACCAATGTTATTACAATTGTTACTTTTTTCATAAGGGTTCTGGTTACAAATTTCTATAGGTTCTATAGGTTTTGAGCACTATTTTACCCAAAACCCATGTTTATGTCTAGTGTGCTACTCTGCAGAATGACAGAATATCCTGGAATGCACATATGAAGTTACGACAGAAATTCAATGTACTATCTTTTAAAACTAGAAACAAATTACTTCATTCATGCACTGAATATCTCTTTTATTATTTTAAGTTACCCTACATAAATCCTATACCATCATTTTATAGATAAAGAAAACAGGGACAACAGATAAAAACCTTTCCTGGACCTGCATAAATACAAGTTATCAGAGAACAATGTATAACTTCTTTCAACATTTTCAATCCTCAAATCATCTAATCATCTTTCAGATACAATTTCTGTATCTTCATTGTTACATTCATTCTCCAATGGTGAGGAAAGAAACACTTGCTAGTCACAATAATTTCAACAACTGCTTTTGAGAATTTGATTCTAGATGATCCAAAAAATATAAGCACGTCTTTGAGGACAAGCACCCCTCTGGAGCATCACTCTAAATAACTGAAAACAGAAGGTAATATCATTTGCCCAGGGGATACTAACTGGGAAGAACTCTTAAAAACCACAGTATGAACAGGTGCTGGTCATCACACAGGCAAAAATCCAGTAAGTGTTTGTGCCTTTTGCTGACAAATAGATGGAAATAAGCAATCAGTGACTTTGACGACTATTTTTCCTAAACAAGAGCATTTTTTCGAAGATAAATGAAAATTTTATCAGCTGTAAATGAAGAGTGTACAGAGATGAATAGTTGTTTCCATGACTAACAAAGGTAGTAAGAGAGCATTAAATAAGAAAGCAAGAGGAGAAATTAACCACACAAACAGCAATATGCATCAACTGCAGCTCAAGCAATCACTAACGTCCATTCCATATACTACGTGGCAAGAATCACTCTAGGTGTTGTACACATACTCGCTCTTTTGCTGACTTACTGAAACGGAGCAGGACCGTGTGGCCCTTTCCCCTACCATGTCCTCTGCCCGCCTTTTGCCTGTGGAAAGCTTTAGTGAAAGAGCAAGTTTAATCAGAGAAGTGAGAAACGCTGAAACAAAGGAAAACAGTCAAAGGAGATGAATAATAACAATGCAGTCACTAAGCATGGTCAAGGACCTTTAGTTCTTTCTCAAGGCAAGTGAACTCACTCAGTCAAGGCCCTTTGTGACCCCAGGGACTGCAGCCTGCCAGGCTCCTCCATCCATGGTATTTTCCAGGCAAGAATACTGGAGTGGGTTGCCAACTCCTTCTCCAGAGGAATCACCCCAACCCAGGGATTGAACCCAGGTCTCCTGCATTGCAGGCATACCCTTTATGGTCTGAGCCACTGGGGAATCTTTCTCAAGGGTTATAGATAATATTCTGAGCCATATCTTGTAATGGCTCTGTCTTATAGATACCAAAAGCCCAGGTGGAGAAGTTAACTACACGATGACCAGACTGTACCCAGGACTTGAGCTGCCATAATTCTGAGAACCGACCGCAAAGAAATGGGAATGAAAGACTGAGGGCAGGAGGAGAAGGGGACAACAGAGGATGAGATGGTTGGATGGCATCACTGACTCAATGGACATGGGTTTGGGTGGACTCCGGAAGTTGGTGACGGACAGGGAGGCCTGGTGTGCTGCGGTTCATGGGGTTGCAAAGAGTCGGACACAACTGAGTGACTGAACTGAACTGAGACCCCAGAACTGAAGATTAAGTGTACCTAAAACAACCAAGATGATGCTACTCAGACCACTGATGACCAACTGAAGATGACTATTAGAGATGACTGTGCTGTTTCTGCACGTAACCCCCCTCACCACCACTCTGTCTATAAACACTTTCCTTTGCTGCTTCTTGGGCAGAGGGAGGAGTCGGCCTTTGGACAGACGTCTGCCACCCTTCCCACCCCAGCTGCCAGCACCTAAAATAAAGCAAACTTGCCTTTCCACCAGCCTGGCTTGTTTACTGACTTCTGAGCGGCGAGCAGCCCGACCCCCAACACATACATCTCCGTAACCAGACCATAACCCCATCAAGCACACATCATTCTCCACTTTTTACACGTGAAAACAAGGATTCAAGATGTTAGATAACTGGCCCAAGATCACCCTGCTACCAAGTCAGAAACCAGGTGAGTTGAGACAGTCTAGCACCAGAGTCCAAATCCTACCTACTACGCACACACCACACAAAAATTAAATGTACTTCTCCACTGTTATCATAAAGCAGGATCCTTATAAAGAGGTACACAAAAGGGAAGAAATTTGTAAAATATGAAACACTACCAAAATGACATCAATGGTCACCAGAATCAACGAATTAATGGGAGTGAGCGGCCCAAATCGCCTCTTTTCCAAGGGGTGAGCAGTAATGCTTGCAGACAATAAAGGTACTTAGAAAGTGACAGGAGTACCGAAAGGATGAGGTGGCATTCTGCGTCCCACTGCACAGCACCTGAGAGGCTTCACCAGCAGCCACTAGTTGAGGAAGACAATCAGATCTTTGGGAGCAGGTATATGTTTACTAACCGACAGAATTACATGGGAAACTTCTCAGGAAACAGGTATTTTGCAGGCAGCCATGGCTCAGATGGTAAAAATCCACCTGCAGTGCAGGAGACCAGGGCTTGAACCCTAGGTTGGTACTCTTGCCTGGAGAATCCCATGGACAGAGAAGCCTGGTAGACTATACAGTCCATGGAGTGGCAAAGAGTCAGGCATGACTGAGCAACTAACACTTTCACTTTTTTTCACCTGGCTGCAGCCTTTCAAAATCAGAAATGTAAGTGACAACAAACACTGCACCTGAGGAGTCTCCACATGCCTCCCCACTCCAGGCCACCCTCAGCTGCTCCCTCCCCGCCAGCTCCAGGCCCTAGAAGGGCTCCCAGCTCTGGCCCTTCTTCTGGATAGGCCTGGCCCATGGAGGTCTCAACAGAACGTCACAAGGCAGAGGCGACGGCCGCTCCCTCCCACCTGCCCTGCTCCAGCACCACCCACTCTTGCCACAGCGGCTCCGGCTGGATCCTGGGACATCACTTCTCCAGGAGACCAGCTGCTACACTCGGAACACCTCATCGACTCTTCCTGCTTATTTAACACTGCCCCATTAAAAAAAAACCCTTCATCAAATGACCTTCAGTTAAAACCTTTTGAACATGCTCTTTCACATCTGGATATACAGCCTGTTACATTTTCTGACTCTTTCTTCTTAACTTTCAAAATTCACCCTCTATTACCCAGTACATGGAAGAGGTTATTTTATGCTTTAGCAATATCAAATAAAGAAATACACAAGATACTGAACCTCAATATGCAAACATGCACGGAAGATGAGTAAAGAAAAGAAAAGACTGTTCAGAAACAACACGGGACAAGGGCTATTCACCCTGGAAAGGGCAAGGAAAATCAGAGCCCTGCCTCACACTATAAACAGAACCCAGCTCCATCAGAGCAGAAGCCAACCAATGTCATGACAGCCAAAATAAATCCCCACTGAACAAATACTGGGGCAAATCAAGCATTAATAAGATAACAATCATAATGGGTTATAAAAACACACATGCAGTATTTAAATCTATGAATTCAAAATGGTTCAAAAATAAAACACCTCTGGAAGATGCTAAGGAACTAACCCATTACTTTGAAAACTGGTAAATAAAAGGAAAGAATCAAGTATACTCAAAAATATACCTCAAAAGAACCAAGTATAATTACAGAATTATCACAACTAACAGAAACAAGAAGGATTGACAGAATGAGAATATCATCACTTGGACCATCTAATGGTTGATAACATGGCAAAAAGAAGTTAACAAGACTCTGGGAAGCTCCTGCTGCAGGAACAAATGGCCAATGACAACACTGAAGAGCCCCTCACTTATGGGATACGGATCGTTTGCACTCCAAATCAAACTATAAGAGAGAACACAGAAACATACCCACACTACACGTGTATGTATTTGTAATATATATGAAAGTGTCAAAGTGTTAGTCACTCAGTCGTGTCCGACTCTTTGCGACTTTATGGCCTATAGCCCACCAGGCTCCTCTGCCCATGGGATTCTCCAGGTAAGAATACTGGAGTGGGTTGCCATTCCCTTCTCCAGGGGATCTTCCTGACCCAAGGATCAAACCCGGGTCTCCCGCATGGCAAGCAGATTCTTTACCGTCTGAGCCACCAGTAAACTATATATATGTGAGACAGTCAGGGAAGTGTGAACATTAATAAGACACTCATATTAAGCAACTTAATCATCCATAACTCTATAACGGCTATATTTGTAAATCGTTTTTTTTTAGAGAGATACAATCTAGTATGTTTTCAGATGAAATTATGTCTGTGATTTGAGAAGGATTACAGAGATCACAGATAAAACAACCGTGCTACATAGTGACACTGCTGAAGCTAAAGGATGGTACATTACCTACACTGGACTATTCTATTTTCATATACACTTCAAAGTTTAAAAAGAAAAATCAATCAATCTCAGGTAGGTTATATATGTAACTATTAAAAACATACACACACTTCAAAACCTTCCTAGGAACATAAACAGTACAGAGTAGGAAGAATTCCTTACCAACATAAGGCAGAAAGCAGCTAGACTGACATCATGCACCTCCTGAAGAGATGCCCTCAGGACGGTCACAGCGTCACCAAAAGGCGCTCCTGGCCAAAAGCACATCCTGAACCTAGTCCTGAGGAGACACCAGCAAACCCACACTGAGGGCTGGTCCACAGGGAAATGGTGCACCCTCCTCAAAAAAGTCAGAAGCCATTAAACACAAAGGCTTCACAGAGCCTTTGCAGAAGTCTTTAAAGACAGAATTCTTCCAGATGAAGAAACAAGGAGGAGAAAAAGAAACTCAGTTTTGCTAAAAAGGACATTATTTGGACAACTGACAAAACCTGGGTAACCACTGCAGATTTAGAAGTGGCATGATACCTGCAAACTACTGTCAAATGGTGCAGGAAAGAAAAAAGTGTTCTGTGTGTGTGTGTGTGTGTAATGAGTGAGAGGAAGATAACATAAGCAAGATACAAAGCAACCGTTAAGTCTGATAGAGAAGGCCTTGTAAGAATTTCTGTGTTACTCTTACATCTTCCTGTAAGTTTGAAAATGCTTTCCAAATACATTTTCCATCTTTACTAGTCATCAGAAATATATAAAATTAAATTACAAGATACCTGGCTTGCCTGGTGGCTCAGTGGTAAAGAATCCACCTAACACAGGGGAACAGGTTCAACCCCTGGTCCAGGAAGGTCCCACACGCTGCAGAGCAGCTGAGCCCAAGCACCACAACTACTGAGCCTGTGCCCTGGCGCCCAGGAGCAGCAGCCACAAGCCCACATGACACAGTGACTGAAGCCCACGCACCGCGAGCAGTCCTCGCAGCGACGCACACGTGGAGGCACTCTGCTGCTACTGCTGTTGCGGCACAGAATTACTCTAGCTGCGCCGAGTCCCCACCGACTCAGCACGGCACTGTACAGACACAGACAGCTCTACCGGCAGCCGGAGGCAGCGCAAGCCCGGGAGGGGGCTCCCCACAAAGCCTTCCGTTGGAATGCCCGCCCCTGCCCTTCTTTAGCCCGGTCAGGACAGACCTACTCAGGAAAGAGCATCGGCAACTAACACAGTGTTCTCGTGAAAGAGCTCTGCGCGGCCCAGTGACAGAAGGAGATGAGTCAGCACGGGCCCTGCGCGTAACCAGGGGAGTCCGCACCTGTCCCAGTCCTCGTCCGCAGCTCTTCTCCTCCAGGACCGCTCCGCACCAGGCTTATCAAACTGGTCAAAGTCATCATCTGTGAAGGAGAGGCTGTGAGTCAGTCTTACTCAACTTAAAAAGACACATTCAAACATTGAAACAATTTGTTTCTTCTAAGGATTCCCAATATGACATTTTAAAACACTAAACTTTCATATATATAACAATTTCAAATGTTGTTTGTTTGTTGTTTAGTCACTAAGCCAGGTCCCATGGACTACAGCCCACCAAGCTCCCCTGTCCATGGCATTTCCCAGGCAAAAATATTGGAGTGAGTCACCACCTCCTTCTCCAAGGGGTCTTCCCAACCCAGAAATCAAACCCACGTCTCCTGCATTGGCAGGCAGATTCTTTACCACTGAGCCTACAGGGAAGCCCATAAATGCTTTAGCCATTTTTAATCATTAAAAAATTTTAAAGTACACATCTACCTAAAGAAAATCAATTTATTGAACATTCTTAGGCATGAAAGCTCGCTGATAGAACAGTTAAAGGGGTGCAACTGACCCCTGCATTGCTCAAGGGTCAACTGTAATAATAAAGCTAAAAATCAATCCTAGAAAGAAAACTGAAAATTCACAGGTACATGGAAATTAAACAACACACTTCGCCAACCAATAGGTCAAAGAAGAAATAAGAACCAGGGAAATAAGAATATACTTTGAGAAAAATGAACACAAAAATACAACATACCGAAGTTTACGGGATGCAGCAAAAGCAGTACGTGGAAGGAACTTTATTGCCTACACTAACAAAGAAGAAAGATCTCAAACCAACAGCCTTACTTTAAATCTTGAGGAACTAGACAAAGAAGAAGAAATTAAACCAAAAGATTGCAAAAGAAAATAAAGATTAGAGCAGAGGCACATGAAACAGACTAGAAAAATAAAACTGTAAAAACTGTTTTTAAAAAATTAGCGTATAGAACTCAACAATATATTAAAAGAATACCCTACATCACAACCACATAGATTTATCCCAGGAATGAAGGGTTCATTTAACATTCAAAAATCAGTACTTTTTAAAAATCAATATAATAGATCATATTACAAAGTAGAAAATTACATTATCATCCCGACATAAGGAGGAAAATGAATTTAAAAATTAAAAAAAACAAATATCCACATTCCTAAAAATTCTGAACAAATTAGAAATAGAAGAGACTTTCCCCAACTTGATCAAAGGGCATCTGTATGGAAAAACGACAGCAACCACCACAAGTGAATGCTTTCCTCTAGAATCTGGAACAAGATTGGGGCTGTGAGTCCCAACACTGCAATTCAGCACTGCAATGCAAGTTCTACCTAGTGCAACCAGACAAGGAAAAACAAAAGAAACTCTGAAAAGGAGGAAGTAAAAAAACCACCATTCTTCACAGCAAACATCATCAGCTATGTAGAAAATCACATGGAATCTACGGGGGAAAAGCACGAAAACTAATAAATGAACTGAATTAGGTTGCAAAATATGAGATCAGTTTTAAAAAGTCGACAAATTTTTTTTTTACATACAAGGAATGAACTATTGGAAATTAAAAAACATATCCTTGCAATAACATAAAAGTATGAAATGTATACTAGGGATACCCATAATAAAAAAATGAGAAAGACCTGTAAATTAAGGACTATGAAACACTGTTGAGAGAAACTAAATACCTAAAGTGCAAAATCACCATAATTCCCCAAAGGAGACGAGAATGATTGCAAATGTGGGTAACCTGTGCTTGGACAAAAGCACAATAAGCAAAGGAAAAAAAAATCTGATAAAGCAGAAAACAAAAACATTCTTTCCACTTGGATTATGGAATGCAAAAACAAGATAAAAAAGAACCCTAACTCAAAATCCTAAGAAACAAACTAAGACCTTGAACTCTGTGGGCCTGTTTTTATTCTTACATTTTCTGCATCACTTTCCTTCTGTTCTCATTGAGAATACAGACAAGTCCTTTATAAGTTTCTGTTTGTCATACTGAGTAGAACCAAGAAAACAAAACGTACCCACACTAGTCCAAAGTTTTAAAGGAAGAAAGCACAACCCTGGATTCCAAGGGGAAGAGTGATCCGTATCTAGAAATCTAGAAACCCAAGGCCAAACGTTATGCTAGACATACATGTTATTAAGGGAATCAGTGTTCCCTGTCAGCAAGACTAAAAACAGTTACTGGAATTTTTACAGTTTTCAATTACACAGCAATTAGGTCTCTATAATGAACACAAGGCGTCTACTTAGCATTCTTATTACTTCCTCATCTTTTCCAGGAACCTGGAACTTAGATTAGAAACTTTATACAATACTAGTCTGGAACAGGATTCTACCAACTGTCTAATCCAAGAATCAGCAAACTACAGTCCCCCTCGTATGTTGGTTCTGCCACCTGTTTATGAGTCCAAATTTAGCTACTGCCCAGACTTATGTAAATAAGCTTTTACTGGAACATACATGCTAATTCAATCACAAACTGTCTACAGCTCTCAAGCTACAAGCGCAGAGCAGAGAACTGCAACAGAGGCCCTGTGACCTACACAATCTAAAGTATTTACCATCTGGCCCTTCACCAAGTTTGCCCTAGTCCAAAGGCTCTCAACCTTCTTTCTTTTGCCCCGACACCATCCTCACGTATACATCTCGTATTCTGAATCGCTGACTCAAAATTCCGTATTTTATAGGTGAGGAAATCCAGACCCTTTATTTAAACAGTATTTATTTAAACTTTATAGTAACGAGAAAAAAAGAATCAAACTAATATTCAAGAACTTTCAAAGTAAGCGTATTTGTCCTACAAAATAACTCAAACTCTAAGTAACCAGGCAAATTTTCAGAAAGAGCCCATATATCATGTTGCTTGAAAAATAATTTGTAGTCTTGTTTTAAAACTCTTATTTGCATGGGACCCTAGACAGGCTTCCCTAAAACAAACTGTACTTTGCTTCTGAAGTGTGGTACACACTGACCATTTGTTTGCCTGTTTTACAACTCAATCTCCTCTTTCTGTGTTTGGGAAACAATCAGAGTGAGTCCTGAAAGACGACAGGGCTCTGCTCCCAATATGCAAGCCATAAAAGCTAGACCCTTGGGTCCTCTGTTAGCCTGAGGAACCTGGAAGAGGAAAATGGTCTGAGCTCAGCCAACTGAACGTTCCCATCATGACTTGGAATCTAGAGGAAACGACGCCCCGTTTCTTTTCCCAAGAATCTTTCTAAAAGGGAACCCCTCTAAAGTGCTAACAGTTAGTTGCTAACGTCGTGAAGTGTAAGGAAGAAATGTCACAGAAAGGGAGAAAGTCCTTCCAGCAACCGCTGCCCCTCCTCCCACGGAGAGAAGCCACAGCCGTGCTGAGACCGTGCCCCCGTCACTCTACACAACAGGGCAGACAAGGCGAGAAACGCACTTCCCAGGGCCTCCGTCCCTGTGCGCGACCGGGTCAGAGAACGCACGGCAAGGCAGGCGCAGGAAGGCTGAGGCACAGTCATCTCAGTGACTTTCATGAGACAGGCGCAGGATGGACAGACAGACAGACACACCCACCTCCTCACAGATATGAGGTCCTCAGAGGTCAGAACGGGCTCCTGAAAACCATGCATGGCTCTGGGCTGGCAGGGGCTGTGACAGTCAGAGGGGGCCTCTTGAGACTCAACACCATCAGAAGTCAGCACCCAGTGCTGCAGGCAGAGACTGACCACTGGCGCTTCCACAATAGTCTTCAGTTCCAACAGCTTCCAGGCAAACTCTTAACCATCAGGCTCTGGTCCTCAGACTAAAGTGTTCCTGACCACCACACCCCCAGCCTTTCCAAGGGCAGATGATGTTGTTCAGTCACTCAGTCATGTCAAGACTCTGCAACCCCACGGACTCCCCTGCCAGGAGTCCATGAGCACACCAGGCTCCCCTGTCCTTCACTACCTCCAAGAGTTTGCTCTAACTCATGTCCATTGAGTCGGTGATGCTATCCAAGGGCTGTAGAAGCCTCTAATTCCTGTATTAAAACCCTTCATACTTGGAAGGGTTCTTTCCTAACTGAAATAAGGTTAATGATAAAACTTCAAATAAGTCTAGCACTACTGAAGCACTGAAGAGAGGCTTCATTTTACTTCAACAAGCTAGCTATATTCATTTTCTCATTTAATCCATCCCCACATTCTCGTTTGATAGATGTGAAAACTAAGACTAACCAAAAATTAGTAAATAGCAAAATCAGATTTAAACTCAGGTCTACCAAATACTACGTATAATGCTCTTGAGTTTATTTAGGAAGCAACTATAGTTAACAATGGGGCTTCCCTAATAGCTCAGTTGGTAAAGAATCCGCCTGTAATGCAGGAGACCCTGGTTCAATTCCTGGGTTGGGAAGATTCTCTGGAGAAGAGATAGGCTACCCACTCCATTATTCTTGGGCTTCCCTTGTGGCTCAGCTAGTAAAGAATCCGCCTGCAATGTGGGAGACCTGGGTTTGATCCCTGGGTTGGGAAGATCCCCTGGAGGAGGGAAAGGCTACCCATTCTAGTATTCTGGCCAGAAGAATTCCATGCACTGTATAGTCCTACAGTCCATGGACTTGTAAAGAGTCAGACACGATTAAGCGACTTTCACTTCACATAGTAACAAACCCTCTGATACATAAAAATATTAAAAGGTAGCGAGCCATAACTTCCTCAATCTTTAGGTAGAAAGATCATTAATCCATGGAATCTACAAAATCATGAAGGCAAAATCAACTATCAACCTACAGGCTGGAATCCTGTGGCCTATAAGGAACATGCTATCTTTGAATTATGTTGTCTTTTTTTTTTAATCAATTTGATTCTCAACCTTTTTAAAATGCAACTATATGTAAGTACCAGAGTTACAGCTTCTCTCAAAAACAAAAAAAAATATTATCAAAAGATCTAGAAAGTAGACCCACACTTTTGCTGTAGCTAAATCAGCAAAGATGAGCAGCACCCAGCCAAACAGGAACAAAACTCCTGTGTCTGTAAGAAAAGGAACTGAAGAGGAAGTGGCACCAGCCGCCACAAGCCTGCTCAAGGCCCAGACCACCCT